CTCCCCACCCCCAACCCGCCCACCGTCCCAACCCACTCCGTCAACGGCCGCGCATACTCAATCGGCACCCCTCCTCCCCTCTCCGGAATACTCCACACGCCCACCTTCATCATCCCCCTCCTGAACAGCTTCCCTCCATCCCCCACTCCCGTCCTCAACTCCTCATTCGCCGACGCCATGGACTGGTATTGACGCATCAACTCGGCTTGTCGACTCAAACGGCGGTTGTGGTAGAAGAGCGACCACGCGCGCCGGATCGTCCAGTGGCGGAGGGCGCGGTTGCGGGAGAAGCGCAGGGGCCGTGGGGTGAGGGTTGTGGGGTGGTGGAGGAAATGGCGGATTGCGGCTGTTTGTGTGGTCAGCAGGGCGTGCATGTGAGAGGATGGTGTACGGAGGAATCGGAAGGCGGAGCCAAGCAGAGCAGAGCACATCTGCGCAGCGCCAGAGCCATATCCTGCCGCAGAGTACGGCAGTCGGATCATGAGACCCAGCTGTGTGTGCCGCGGTCGAGGAGTATGAACGTACTGATCTTCGGATCCCGCTTCACCTTCCCGCCTTTCTTGGCTTGTAATGATGCTGATGTAGAGAACGACGATCTCAGTGAAGGGCTAGTCGACGGCAGCGACCGAGCATGTTGTATTGATTGTGCACTTGGTCGCAGAGGGATCTGGAACACTCGCGCCAGCGCGGCGCGTATCGAGGTGTGCTGCATCGACTTTATCCGCGGCAGCGGCGGTATCACAAAGTAGCAAGCAAGCGTGCTGATTCTTTAGATGCCAGGACACGACAGTGAAAAGTCGGGCGGTTTGCACGCAGGGAAAGCGGTCGAGGCTGCTGAGGATCGAGGTGAAGGTGAAGTCGAAACGAGCTCCGATTTTCTGGCCGCGAGCCTTGCGCAGCCTGGTTCAGTTTTGGCGCCGGTTGACACGTCTTGCAGTGCTTCCTTCTCTTCACATCTTCACTAATCTGGCTGCGAAGCCGTCGCTGTATGATCAAGAACCATTGACTTTGATGTGATGGCTGCTTCGAAGGAACGTTGCCCAGATTTGACCTGCTCTGGTGCAGGCCTCTCTTCTGTATCGGCGAGGTCGACTACGAATATATCTACATACCAGCGGCAGGATAGGTACTCCTCAGCACGGCGACTCATCTGGCGACTCAGAAGACTAGCCTATCGTGGAACCAAGTCTCAATGTGCTACCCAGGTATATTCACTCCTCGTCCATGAAGGTATAACGTTCCCTTCACGTCGCAGCCACCCCATTGGGAATCGTCGGAACATGCACCGCGTCCGAGACCACAACACCACTCTTCGTGACCTCAGGCTTATTCGGCTCCGGTGCCCTCTCATCAATCTTCTGCCTCTTCGCCTCCCTCTCCTCATCCTTCACCACATCATCCTCCACAAACCTTGTCCCATTGATATACCAACTCAACCCCTCCTTATCCCCCTCCCTCTCCGCCTTGGTCCACCCATCACCAAACCACCCAAAATCATTCCCATCTACCGTCGTCATATCGTAGTCTTCAAATCTGACCTTCTCCAACGCTTTCACCGCATGCAGCGAACTACCCGGCCAGAGCGCCGAAATCCTCCCCCTCTTCCTGTCCTCTGGACTCGTGCCGGGCGGGCTGGACTTGTACCAGCTATTGCACTCAGCGCTGAAGACGGTCCGCTTGAAGAACGCATCGGCGTAGTTCGTGAAGTCCTCCACCGCCTTCCTCTTGGGCATGATCGTAAGGGTGTTACCCGTTGCCAACTTAGTGAAGATCTGCGCCATGTATGCAGCGACAGACTCAATAATGATGATCAAGTTGCCATTCCCGACGCCAGCATTAGGCCCCAGACTCTGGAAGTAATTGGGAAACCCGTCGACGCCCATTGAGAGGTAAGTCTCCGGTCGCTGTGCATAGCGATCCTGCAGGTTCTTGCCATCAATGCCGTACACGGGGAAGCGGCCCTTGAAGCTGGTGTCAAAGCCCGTTGCGCATACGATCGCGTCGACTTTACGGTGCTTCCCGTCCACAGTCCAGATTCCCTCGGCATCAACTCTGTCGATCTTGTCGGGAATGACATCGGTCTTGTCGTCGGACAGCGCCTCGAGATAGCCAGGACCGGGGGTCAGGCGCTTGCACAGAGGTGGGAAGCTCGGGATGAGATTCTCAGCGACTTCGGGCTTCTTGGTCAGCCGTTGCCTCATCTCCTCCTCGAAGGCCTTCCAGGCACCGGTGTGCTCCTTTGTTCCGCGATGCGTGACGGCGTAGCCACCTTGCATGCCGCATTCGAGCGCTTTGCGGTATTTGATGTATGCACTTGGGTCCTTCTTCCACAGAGCTTTCTCCTCTTCGGTGTAGGCGAAGTTGCCGTCTGCGCCGTCGTTTCGTTCTCGGACTAGCTCGTGTCCGAATGAAGCGGCGATCCAAGTCCGGCCGCGGACGTAGTGATCCATGTGCTTGACGTGGGGGAGCAGTGCTGGAACGATCTGGATTCCTGATGAGCCAGCTCCGATCACAGCGATGTTCTTGTCCTGTGCATCATGTCAGCTGCTTGCTACGCCAGGTCTGCGATACTCGATCTCACCTTGAGATCAGTGGATGTATCCCAATTCGCACTGTGCCCCTTGATGCCCTTGAAATCATGCAGCCCCGGAATATCTGGCCACTTCCAGTCATTCAACACACCCGTACCAGTGCACAGGACATCGCCGATATCCTCGACCACCTCATCCGTTCCCACTTTCTGAAATTTAACGTGCCATTTCGACGTCCGCTCGTTCCAGCGTGCTTCTATGCATTGGTGGTTGAATGTCATATACTTTCGCACGCCATACTTCTCCACAACTCGCAGCCAGTACTTCTGGATCTCCCCACCAGTCGCGTAGAATTTTGACCACTGGTAGCTGCTTTCGTAGCTGAGCTGGTATGAATGTGCTGGTATGTCACAGGCAATGCCTGGGTAGTTGTTCTCGAACCACGTCCCTCTGTCACAATTGTTAGTTGGAGCTAAAGCGAGAAAGCGGTCATCTCGCTCACCCTATGTCGGCGTTCTTCTCGTAGACTACCAGCTCCAGTGAGCCCTCAGGCATAAGCTGTGGTAACCTGATCGCTGCATTGATTCCCGATATCCCAGCACCTGCGCCAAGTTAGTGAATGTGTTCCACTGGTCAAGTGCACAAGTGGTCGGAATGACGTACCGACATAGATGACCTTGATCGGTCGTGGCTGGTCTACAGATCGTTCTGATATTCTTGGATCACTATACTGGCTGTCCAGCCTGTACTCCAGAGAGCCCATGGCTGCTCTTCGAGCGTCTGGTGAGCGGGGAGAGATGCCGATAGAGGAGTTGCGTGACTGCCGTCAATTGCGACCTCGTGAGGTTCTGGTGGCCGTGTGCGAATGGGAATTGCGAAAAGGCAGCAGAATCTCGGTGTGACGGCAGAACAGTGAATGAAAGCAAGCACAGGTGAGTATTCAGCAGATACGAATGCGCTCCTGCCTCAAAACACAAGAACCACGGCACTCGCGTCTACTTAACAGGACTTGCAGTGGGGTACGATCACGACACCATTCGCCCCGGGTGGGCGAGTATGGGGACGCGGAAACAGACCTTGTTACTACCTTTGCTCGACAGGCGAAATGTCCGCACATGGCCGTCCATACAGTGGGAGATCTCCTCGGTCTAAACTCTCCATTTGCCGGTGATCTAGAAGCCTCCGTTGCGGTTTCGGTGATACCGCATTTGTGGTGACGTTGTCGACAAACCTGGAGAAACAACGGGACCGCGCTGTGATCTGCGGAAAACGCCCACCCTTTGCGGCCACGCTTTGCCGCAAAGTCGGTTGTGACGGACGGCTTTTGTTGCCCGCGAGCCATGTGCGAAAGAAATCGAGGGACAGAGCAAACCTGCAAACCTTCTGCGAGAAAAAGTTCATGTGCAGGCGCAGGACGCCGGGCAAATGGGTGAAACCCGGTGGTCGAGTCGGCGGAGGTGTGGGAGTAAATGTGGGGGACAGAAGGTCCAGATCTTGCCCACGCCTTGGAAATTCCGACGTGCTGTGAAGCTGGCCCAACAGCTGATATATCAGCCCTTGCGGTCACGCTCAGAGGGACTTGCCGTCACTTTCAAGTTCGAAGAGAGTGAATTTGGATGTCTGTCGTGGACGCCTGATGAAGGCGTCAGTCATGTCAATGAGGACGTTAGGTGGAGCCAGTTGACCAAATCAGCCATCATGCGAGCGACTCCCATGGATGCAAGCAATTGCGAGAGGCGCCGATAGACAATTGCTAACAGTACACAGGGCGGTGATAATCAGGCTGCACCTCCTACTGATGACCCTTTGTCGGTCTAGCTAATAGCAATAGTAGACCATTCACAATGTCATGACTCAAGCTTAACAACAGCTATGGCGATGCTGAACTCTGGCGGAACCCCTGCACTAAGACCTTTTCATGCCGACAATGCTTTTCCATGAATGACGCTGCTGCCTTGCCCGGGCTTGCTGATCACAATTGCCTCCTTCAGCTTCTCTTGTGACATGTCGGGAAACTGCTTGGAGTAGTACTCCTTCTTCAGAGCCTCTACTACTGCTTCGACCTTGTCTGTTGGTAGCAGGACCACGACGCAGCCACCCCATCCCGCACCAGTCAATCGACTTCCGTATGCTCCCGCTTTCCTCGTGATGGAGCATATATCATCAATCTCCGGACAGCTGCATTCATAGACATTGGCGCAGGACTCTTGGGTGGTATTCATGAGCTCGCCTAGCCGCAACAGCTTGTCCTGGTCGAGGCTGTCGCTCTGCGACAGTGTTTCTCGGAAAGACAGCACTCGACGAGCTTCTTCCAGCACATGAAGCGCTCGCTGCCTGAGCTTGAATGCATCGGCCTGAACAGGGAACTTCGACATGTATTCCTTCTCGAGATTCTCGACGGATATCTCCAGAATCGAGGCGATGTCCTCGCGCGTGTAGGCGTCCTTATCGAGCTTAGACCTTATCATTTCGATCACAGCATCCACCTGCTCCTCTTGTGGCTGTTGAAGTTTGCCTTCCCTCTTCAGTATCTCTTCTTGGAAATTGCGAAGGCTGAAGCCAAGTGAGCTTTTGTCCGGATTGAGTGTGAGGTCAAAAAGCTTCGCCAGCGCGACTGATGCCAGAGTGACCTCGACGACCCTCAGGTTGTAGTGCTTTGGCGCAGTGACAGCTTTGTCTGAAGTGACGAATGACTGAGCAACCAGGATTGCGAATTCAGGATTTGACTTTGGCACAGGCACATGCTCTGCGGCGAATTCGGGCCAGAATCGGCAGTAAAGTAGGTAGCCACGTTGTGAGAAGATTGACGCTGCCTGATCCATGCCACCGGAGTAGACGCCGACGCTCCTTTCTGAGACTATGCATTCATCCAATAGGTCCTGTTTAGACACGTTGTGGCCGTTGGCAGCCATAATCGCAAGGGCTGAGGCACATACAAATGCAGCGCTGCTTGAAAGACCTCCTCCAGCAGGCACATTGCCGTCTATCAGAACCTTCATCCCTTTCGGTACAAAATTCTCACCGTGCTTCCGGCGCAGTGATTCGAGCGATCCACTCACACCGGCCAGGAAATAATTGCTCCATCTGTGGTTCTCCTTGTCGACCACGACCTTGCCAGATATTGTTGTATCCTCCGTCGGATACTTGGATGAATTGACATTCGCGATAGTCATGTGGCCATCCTCGCCCTCCAGCACCTGAGTTGCGATGAGAACGTCGTTAATGACTGCTGTAGGTAACACGTTGTACAGGGAATAGTCAACGTGCTCTCCGATGATGTTGACTCTTCCTGGACTTCGGGAGACAAAGTCAGGCCTTTTGCCGAATTGTTGCTGAAATGATTTGATCAAGTTCTGGAATCGTTGCTCGTATTCTGTGGGAATGCCAGAAGTGGTGCCATCGCCGTAGACTTCCTCCAGGCTATCGACCCAAGGCACCTCGGCCATATCGACGATGCAATGTTCGCGGTATGGTTCAGATCGCGTCAGATTTTTCCATGCCAGAGATTCCTTCACACTTACTTGTACTTCGTACGAGGTGGGCGGAATAGCGATGTTCAAGGCGGAAAACGAATAGTGGGGTGTCGGCATTGAAGTCTGCTTCAAGTTTGTTGCCATTTCGGGGAACCTCGGCAGAAAGTGGCTATTGAGCAATGATCTCATTCGCGACTGCACTCGTCCGTCCACGATAGCCTCCTCCTCGGTCGCGCGTGTCTTTGGCTACGACAGCCTGCCACCACCGAACATGAGCTCGGACACTTCTGAGCCTGTCCTACTCGACAAGCCAGACGACGAGTCGCCGCCGCCTAGCAGACCCGTCCCTCTCACACGACAGTCAACGTTGACGCCTAAAAAGTGTTGGGTGTGTTTGGGTACACAAGACGAGGATGATCCGAACAACCCTCCAGTCTGGCGGTCGCCATGTACGTGCTCCCTGACCGGGCACGAAGCATGCTATCTGGACTGGATTGCAGACGTCGAGAACCCCAAGAAGAAGCCTAGAGGCGACACCACCATCCGTTGCCCACAATGCAAGACAGAGATCAAAGTGGCACGGCCGTCAAGTCGCGCGTTAGATGTCGTCAAGGCGCTCGACCGCGCTTTCGCTAAAGCGACACTACCAGGACTCGCCGGCGTCATCATTGGAATGATCACGACGGGCGCATGGGCTCATGGCTTTCAATCCATGTATTTCGTGTTCGGACCAGACGAGGCAGCACGTATCTTCCTGCAGTCGAACACGATTCAGCTCTGTCTCTATCCGCTGATTCCGCTCAACCTCATCGCTGCACGCACGCGATACGCAGATCCTGTACTCCACACCGGCACATTTGCACTGCTCTATTCACAAATCAACCAGCATGGATTCCAGCTCGACCTTACCATCTGGCCGCCTCTACCAAGCACGGTCTTCATCTGCTTGCCCACGGTTCGCAGAATATACAATTGGTCATACGAGAAGCTATTTGGGGAATTCAACAAGCGCATGATCCAAGCCGTCCAGCCGCAGGCAACACAGCCCATTGACACCGAAGAAGCCAACCTACAAGAAATCGCGAATCAGAACGCTATTGCTGAAGCTGAAGAGGCCGAGATCGTGCTTGAGCTACAGGTCGATATCGGAGACGGTGAGGTGGAAGTACAAGCCGAAGCCGTCGAGGCCGGTAACGAGGGCGAAGCCAATCCCGAGCAAGGCAACAACGGCAATCAAGCGCACGTTCACCAGATCGGCGAAATTGTAGACGGCCTCGGCTTCGGAAGTAACCTTCTTGGAGCGCTGGCGTTTCCATATGTCTCAGCTGCCATGGGCTATGCTCTCAATCTCGCACTTCCCAAGTCCTGGACGAGTCCACTACCCGGATCATTCTTCAGGTTCGGTAAACGTCCTGGTCTACTACAGAGTCAATGGGGGAGGAGTGTGGTTGGTGGTGCTATCTTCCTGGTGTTGAAGGATGCTCTGCTGCTTTATTCGAGGTGGAAACAAGCGCAGTCTCATAAGCAGCGAAGAGTTGTCGACTACGACAAGAAGACAAAGAGGTACTTGGATGGGTCATGACGTTCCTTCAGGTCGACTTCTACACTTATTGATGGCCTGGTCCATCGTGGTACGCGCCCCGGTTGATCCTGTTCGACTTAAACAACAAGCTTTCCCCCGACGGGCCAGGCCCGCACATGGAACATGCGCCCTCCAACGAGCACAATGCGCAGCATGATTCGACTCAGCAGAGACGAAGGCCGAGATGAGCTATCTGGTCTGAATTCCAGAACAGAAGACGGGGCCACCGAAAGGACACAGGACACATAGGACGCATTCATAGATATCCTGACGCGCTGATATTAGCGATACTCGACTCACACATTTCAGACGTGGCCAAATCCGGTTCATTATGCTGCGCTGGAATCACTTTCGCAGGTACAGCGTATCATGCTGACGTCTGGGTCGAAAGCTGGTCGGAGCGCCGTTGCTTACCAGCGTTCCATGAGCTGCTGCTCATGTACTTTTACTTGAATGGGAGATGACGATAACGCTGCTGCCCCCGAGTGCCCGTGACTATCGACAACTAACGCTCCTGTCCCGCCAGAGCTGCCAAGCCTGCTGGTCCAGGTTGTCTGAAGCTGCACGGAATCGAAGATTGTGCTTCCACTTTCTGCACGCCGTCATCACACCTGATCCGAGGCATCGCCCACCAATACGGTCACTAAGCAGCTTCCAAACGCTAGCATAGAGCCTGGGGCTTCTTCCGCGCGTAGTGGCTAGTTCCGCTACAGACATGTAGCACATCACTCATGAGCACGGCCTCATCCGTACCAAGACACTTCGCCGACCAAGATCATGGAGTTCTGACCGGCGTTGACGGCACACGCCAGGAGTTTTGCCTGATTTCGATTGCAGGAACCTTTGTGCATATCGATGCAGCGAATCGGATCGCTGTGTTCCCAATAGCCGACAAGGCAAGGATGCTTAGCGTCAGACCGGCGCAACTCCAGGCAAAGTCTGCCTCGGCCGGAGGATCGGTTGAATGTTTGTCATGACTGCGAACCTCGAGCGGGAGATCGAGACTCTTGATTGCTCGTGCAAGATAAGACGGGGACAAGTACCTTGATAACATTTTGAGATGTCTTGCTACGACGCGACATTCGTGGAGCCAGAGCGCGGCAAGTATGATTTATGATTCTCCTGTGAGATTCGAGCAAGGCCTGGTGACAAGTGATCCTTGGGGATGGCAGGCGCAGCCGGATCAAAGGTCTGGACTCGATATGGACGTGGAAGCAGACTTTGCACCTTCTCCTGGTCAAGATAGCGTCTCAAAACCGCTTCATCATTGCGACTTCTTTCGAATATCCAGTTTCCCATCGCGGATGCCTGGCCAGCCTTCCCATGAATCTGATCATGCAGCATACACCCTGCCTTTGACCGGGAATGGTCGAAGATTGTTCAAAAGCACGAGATCAGCCTCAAACGTCGAAGAAACTTGCCGCAAGCCACATCTCGCCAGCTGAGTGGGCTGCACGTCGCAGCGAGATCACAGATCTCTATCGCCATCGCGGTTGGACGTTGCCTCGAGTGATGCAGGAGATGGCAGAACGGGGGTTTCGTGCATCGTGAGCGCCTTTTAAGTCCCTCGAGGACCAGGCCACTGACTGTATCCAGCAAGAAGCAATATAAAAACCGCATCACCGCATGGGGTCTCGATAAGAACGTCAAGCGAGCTGAGGCGGAAGCGATCCTGCGCGAACATCGTCGACGGACCGCTCTAGGGCAGCAATGCATCTTTGTTTCGCGGGGTTGGCTTGTCGACGTGGCGAACCTTGAACGGTTTAACAAGCGTACCAAGCAACAATCAGGCTATCGTCCGATAAGGAAGCGTTCTCGTTCCGACGCCTCGTTGTCCGACGATGAGGACGACGACGACGTCAATAGGCACATCGCCTCGTCGCCTCCCAAGCGACGCGCTCCAAGCCACCCAACACCAACACCAGGTCTCTCACCAGAAATCCGCATCATCGTCCTCCCCACCACCCTCTCCGCCGCCATCACCGCCCCCTCCGACTACGAAACCCTTCGCGCACTATTCCACTACACCTCCGTACTATTCCACAGCTTCTTCGACCGAGACGTCTACACCCTCTCCTCCTCCCCACCCTCAAAGTCCGCACCCTCCTCTCCCCGTGCTCGCTCACCCATCCGGGAACACCGACGCAGCAGCCTCCCGAACCTGACCTACCCAGCCATGCGCATCCGTCCCACTGAACTACAGCGGTCCCATCGAGGAGAACGCCGGAGAACACCAGACTACAGAAGCCTCGACACGAGCTACGACCTCACCCTCTCCGCCCTCCAGCGCCTCCGCGATGGCGAGTATTACCTAGCAGGCCAGATCTTGGATCGTGCGTTTGCTGGGTTGGATGAAGTCGTGCGGTCGGACCATCCAAATGGGATCGGGGTGGTGATCAAGACGGTAGGGGCTTGTTTTAAAGCTGGGTTCGGGGAGGTGGGTGGGATGGTGTTGAGGTTTGTGGGGGAGTTGGGAAGGGTGAGATATAGAGAGGAGCTGGAGGGTGGGGTGAGCGATCCGAGGGGGAGGCTCTATGCTTTACTGCCGAATGTGTTTGAGAGTCTGATGGCGTCTTCTGGGTGTGAAAAGACTTCAGATCAAAGGATGCGAAGAGCTTCGACAGCGACAGCAGCAAATGCGTCTCAGCCACCGTCTGATCTGGCGACACCCAGCGGTAGGAATAGCAGCGTGATGCCGCCACCACCACGGCCATCGCGAACAAATCAGAAGCGCAGTCCGACACTCGCTCGTCCCTCTCGAAGGCCGACTAGCAGCGCAACGAACGCCGCCTCAACAACGCACCTCGTCGCAATCTACGAGCTCTTCTGCCAGGATCTATGGCGCAAGAAGCGCCCAGAAGGGGCACTGTTAGTGCTGTTGTGGTATCCTAGTTTGTTCTGTTGGTAGTAGGACTGCGGCAGAGCCTGCGTATACGGTACAAGAGAACAGAACTAAGACCATGCAGCGACTACTGCCTTTCAGACCTTCTGCGCTCCACGACTAGGGTTCCCACCTCGCACACTTCAACCCTCCCTTTTCTATGGCGAGGCGGTGTGGAGGGAGTGTCTCGCTTCGCGAGCCACCCCCTCCCCACCACCTCCCCCACCCGCCCACGCGCCTGCGGCGCGACCAGGAAATCGCTCGCTTCGCTCGCCTTTGCCCTGAGCCACACCGACTGGTGGTGAGTCGG